CTGATCTCTGCCGCCCGCGGGCGGCTCGCCTGGCACGCAAGGCTGTCAGGCAGCTCCGCTCAGCCCCATCCTCGCCCCTGCCTCAGCCCCCGCTGTACCCCTGAGCCTTCGGTCCTCGCTGTCCTTGCGGGCCCGTGCACACACGGCCAGCGCCGTGGGTGGTTTTGGTGTTTGCTTTTAAAATCTGGCAAAACTTCTTTGCCAAAAGTCTGTGGAAAGCGCAGAATCATCTGGAAGATGCAGGCTCTGTGCCGCGGTGTACGCTCACCATCCTGATCCGCTCCCTCAACTCACTGTGTCTGCCCGCACAGCCCCTGCCGTAGGACGAAAAATATACTGCCTTGCGATGGGAATGTGTGTGTGTGTGGGTGTGAGCACCAGCCATAAGTTTCGAATATTTAACAGGACTTTTCCCAGTCTCCTTGGAAGGAAAAAAATCATCTCACGTTGGGGTTTCTGCTGCTGAAGGACTTGGGGGAGTTTGTCGACAAGGGCAGCCACCACCGCTCACAGAGCACAGAGCCCAAGGTGTGCGTTAGTTAGCATTAATTACTGATTTTTCCAAGTGTTAAAGTAAGAGGTGAGGGGAACTAGGAACTGTAAAAGCCATCTGACACTCTGAGCCAACGAAAATGGTGTAAAGTATTCACCCTGTTAAATACTTTTCAAGAAAGGCTGTTTTTGCAGAAATCGGGAACACTTGAGGGGTTATTCACCCATCACAGAAACAACAGAAACTTGATGTTTCTTAGGATTTCATTTCAATGGACTCAGTTGAACCAGTTACACCACAAGGTTCGCCAAAGCTGTGAAGTGAATGATGATTACTCACAAATAAAGTTTCTGTGATATGAATCTCTGAAATGAATGCTTTACTTAAAAAGCCTCTCCAAGAATCTTGAAGAACTCAGTGAACTCTCGCAGACGTCACTTGGGAAGTGGTTTCCGTATGTACTTCACAAAGAAATGACAGATTAACCTGATTATTCTGACTGAAAAGTGGGAGTAGATGTCTCACTTTACTTTACTTTGAGAGTAAAATATATGGCCCCCTCATTACATGTCACATGAATTCGCCCCAGGATACTTCGGGGATAAAAAGCCTTTTTTTTCCCCCTACCCAGCTCTAGCCTGAATGTTCTCTCAGCTGCTAGTTTCTGCCTTTAAGGAACTCACCAAAAGGTGATGCCAGTAATATCAGGGTTGGAAGTGGCAGTGGGAGGTTTTCTACTGATTCAGTAGGCTGATTCAGTTTTGCCCGTATGCTAAAATCAGACATCAAATAGCAAATCAGGAGGTGACTGGCTTAGATTTTCTGGAGGTTACTTTACAGAAAAGCAAAAGGATATAATTAAGTGCATTGAACAAAATATCAACACTTTGTTAAGTTTTAGCTTGGAATTCATACCAGGTACTTCTCTGTTCCAGCTCTGCAGTGATGCTGTTGTGTTGCATAAGTGAAGTCACACAACAGGCTCAAAGTACAGTGTGAGACACACATACTTTCCAAACTTTTTCCTACTCCTTTTGGTAGTGCATACAGGTAGATTGAAAAGGCTGAAGGATTTCTAGGACACCAAACCCTTAGGGAACATTCAGGCTCTTTCGTATGACTCATGACTTTCAGTCTTTCAGAAAAAAAAACCCACTTTTGAAATGGCTCTACTCTGAAAACTCAGAATGCTAAATTATTCCCTGGGGCAAAAGGGGATTTAAGCTGCAGGGCTTCTCCTACAACGGTTATATTGGGGGAGAAAAAGAGATAGACTAAGCAGACATGCAAAACAAGCAGGTAGGAAATCATCCCTGTAGCGAAAGGGCTAAAGGTCCTGGCTTTTTCATGTGGCAAGCACTCTTATCAGCTCAAACTTCCACTTTTCTAAATTTCTTTCTAAATACTGCTGCATTTACATAATACATATGCATGTGCACATTCATTCGTGGCCAGGGAAGCACAGACTGTCTAAGCAAGACGGGCAGCAATAAAGAAACCTGCAAAAGAGCTCTGAAGAAGTGGTGAAGCAGCCAGAGATGGAAGAATTTGCTGCTCTGCATGGGGCCACTGATTTCACTCTGATGGCACATGGTATGAAGGAGCTGCTAGGACAAAGAAAATGTGAAATGAGAGATTTTTTATTCTGGAAAAGTGGTTAAGTGCATGTTTATAGCTGATCTGACTGACAATTAAAGAAACAAAATAAAACAACCAAACAAGGAACCCCAAAACATAGGGGACTCATTTCTCCTCTATTATTGATAGTCTACTAAATTGCTCCAACAGGACAACAGCCACAGCATGTTCAGGTTTGTGCTGAAGCGAACTCTTCTCAGTAGCAAAGATCCTGGGAAATGAAATTCAGACTGGGGCACTAGGAAGCTTTCGAAAATCAAGTACTGCTGGCAGTAAGCCTTTCTGATCATTGAGAAAGAAAGCAAACAGACTCATTTTCAGCATCCAGAAGTTCAGGCTGGAGAAAGAACATTACTGTTAGCTTAGAGCATTCATCTTCCACCAGCAATGCTGCCCAAGCAATAGGAGTATTGAAGCTCAACACTGACGAAGCCTGCTCCCCTGAGATGGTCAAATACTTTTGTAAAATGTGGAGGACAGGTTAAAATAAAGGTCTGAAACTATGTAAGTGGGGTCAGGGCAGTTCTCCCAGCAATGCTGGTGGATATTGGCACAAAGATACTGGATGAAATATAGCCTTCATCTGCTAATTAGCCTTTTGTCATCTATTTGAGTCAGTTTCCATAGTCAAACCCGGGAGGCAGATAAAGGATAGCCCTGAGGAAATACACTGAGCTTTTAGCACAATTGCTGCTGATTCTTTTACCTCCTTCAATCTCTATTGCTCCTCCCTTCTCCCTGTTACTACTTCTCTCCCTTTGCTCTCTTGCACACTTCCATGGGAAGGGCCAAACACTGACATCTCCCAGATCCTGCTTGGGCTTTTCTGATTTTCCTGCTTTCCCCACTCAATTGTTGATTACCTGTTGATCTTGAAATAGTGTGAGGGAGCACCAAGAGCTGGGATGTTCCAAGAGGGAGGACAAACCAGGAGCCAGCAGAGACCACAGCACAGGTAGTGATGGCCCCAGTCAGGGCACAGTCCCACTGTACCCAAGTGGAGGTGAGGTAGTATCTGTGGTCCTTCAGTCATACCAGGAAGTCCACAGCAAGAGGCAGAGCTGCAGGCAAGGCTACAGCATGGGTCCAAGGTCCACCCAAGAAGCACAACCGATGATAGAATGAGGCTACTGCCTACAATGTAGGTCCAGCATCCATGCAAGAAAACCCTCCAGTAAGCCAAGACAGCCAGGAGCAGCCACAGGTCTGGTGACCAGAGCCTGAGCTTAGATGGGGCTCCTGGGTCCATAGGTGTGGTGTGTGGATGAGGGTCATTACTGGTGCTCTCAAAACTCCTAGCCAATAGTTAAGGATAGTGCTGAAGCAGAATAAAGTTTTGCGTTTAAGACTCCAATGAAGGAAAAGGAAATGGAGATGCACCTTAAAAGACAAGTAATATTGCTTTGTAGTTATTAGGAAAATCTCATTTTGCCAGTTGTAGCAATGTTCTCCCTCCAAAGCAGGAGCTCTGCCCATGTGCACATGACTCCTAGGTCTCAGGCAAGCAGGGTTTTGTTTTAGCCTCTGCCACATTCTCCCACTGTGATTTCAGACAAATTGCCTACTTGTTTCTTAATGAGAAAGTAAATGGATTTCCTTGTCCAGTGTGGGCATCTGAGATGGGGCTGACATGCCAGGCCTTCATAGATGGTGCTATGTATAGCTGTGCCTCCCATAAACTGGTCACCCTCCCTCTTGAAGAGAAATTTCTCCCTTGTTTGTCCTTTGGAAAAGCTTATTCAGCAGCCTAGGGTTGGTCGATGAAACACACTTTCAAAGTCCTGCTCAGGTTGATGGACAGTTCAGTTTACTGCCACTGGTTTTCCCAAATCATCTGAAATCTTCAGACACTTGATACAGGTGCACATACTTGCTTCTTACCCAACCACAACCAGTAGGACTTAATTTTCATGGTCTTTCCTGATATGAGGTTATGGTTGCCATATTGTGACTACCCTGAAAGATGCTGAGGTAATGCTCCCTCCACCCAAAAAGAACCTGAGCTGAATGGTCAGGGTGTGCTAGCATTGTCTGCAACAATTTCTTGTGAATCACAGCTACTTTCTCAGTAGAATGGAATGCCACGGTGAATGTGATTTTGTAACAGTCAATACAAACAAGAAACTTGAGGAAGTGTAACAACCAACATTTTTTTTATTAGAACATCAATGGCCATGTCATTCAGGAGGAATTAATTTTCAAGATTTGGCTACAGAACAGCTCTACAATCTCATTGCCTTCCCCATGCTCAGCCGTGTGTTTTGTGGTTTGTTGTTGTTTTTTTTTTTTCCGGGGGAGACTTCAGCAGATGCCTTCCATCTTTGGGTCTTTGAAGGTGGGTTCCCTCTAGTGGCATTAAGAGAAGCATCGATTTGTGTTATTGACTGACCTTGGTCCGTAGTAGGGACAGGGGACACTGCAGGGTGTTACCAGCTCACTCAGGAGACACAGATTTGTCTTCATCTGGCTAGTAGCCTAGGACTTTTGTGTACCACAGGTTCTTTATTTTTTCAATCAGCTGTTCAGCCATTATACTGAGTTTAGTTGTTTCTCTGATGAGGAAGTTCCTGCAGGAGATGACAGTGCATGTGGTAAGATACTCAAATACCTGAGGGTAATCCCCATCTTCTGTAGTTATCACAGTGCCTGTCACTGAGAGTGCAGAGCTCCTTGGCAGTCCTAGAGGGGCTTTGCTCTGAAGACAGGAATAGGCAGTATATATATGCCATGAGTTACATGAAACTCTCTGTAGGATGATCATGCTTTTTCTTTAGTGAGGAAACTCCTTCCCCTTCCTTGAGGAATACGTATGCATAGCTAGAGCAAATTCTGTGATTTGCATCAAGTGACAGCAGTGTTTCCTGGCACATTCAGTACTCAACCCCTCACAGACAACACCACACAGCCCTTCCAGGGGAGCTGATCCCTCACCAGCCCCTCACTACCCACGTGAAAAAAGCAGCACCTGCTATCCCCACGAGCATTGTCATGTTCAATGTGCACCCCTGGAAAGAGCTTGTGCTTTCATAGAACATATCATTTCACCCTGCCTTCCAGCACCTTATCCCCACAGTAGTCACATCAGGCTTTGGTTGCTGATTCATTTCCCATTGGGTCTCCCTGTATAGATACTTGATTAATCTATTGTTTCTCCCACTCCTCCCTCTCCATTTTCACACATGGCTGTTGTTGCAGTGTTAGCACAGAGGAGTTTTCCATACCTGGTTGAAACAACCGCGGGAGTCTGGGCAGCATCCGCCAAAAACTGACCGACTTTAGGGGACACCTTGTTCACAGCTTCATAGACATAAGATGCAACTGCATCAGGGATCACCAGCCAGTCACGACGGTCTTTCTCAAAGATGGACTTTGAGTGCACTTCTGAGAAAGAGAAGGCAACACCCCATGAGGCTTCTCCAGTCATTTGTGTCTCTGATATGTTCCCCCAGTGCAGTAGGAAGACACATGAAATTCGAAGATTCAAAGCCTCTCCCAGAACTGACCCTAGCAGCATCCAGCAGTACCTCTTCACCCATTCATGGGTATCTGAGTCCTAGGCCTTACATGGCAGAGTATTTGCACCAGGTATGGACAATTTTGATGCCAGGTCTCTACTGGCTTGTTTCACACTGCCTATGTATTAGTGGTCTTCAACTGTGTTACTGGGCTTCAGTCCTGCTTTACAGATGGGTGAAAACCTGTAGAGCTAAGCCTTGTCTCAGGCAGACAGAAAAGCTTTTCAGACTTACCAGGGACAGTGGTGCTAAGGAGCAGAATCAGAGCTATCACCAGTACCCTGGATTGCAGCATGGTTTGCAGTACCAGTTCTGCTCTCTACGCCGAGAGACCTGCAGGAATCAGCAGACAATGTTTTGTTTGTTTTAAGAGAAATAAAACATGTTGGTTAAACACCAGATTTTTGCAACAAAACTAACCAATAAATGAAGACATGAACAGGAAAGGCATTTCCTGTGAAGAAGTGAGGAAAAGATAGTATAAAAATGAAGGTGTACTTTTATTTGTATAGTCACAAATAACTACAATAACTTTCAGAGCTGAAAGAAATATGTGCCAGTTAAAGCTAGTTCTTTTATATGAGAGCTAAAATTCCTTGTTTCAGCACATGAGCAAACCACTAAAACTAGCAGAGGTCAGAATAGGTTTCCTCCATGCATAAGTGCAAATGAAAAATTCATAATGTGGGATTTCTTTGTTTGATTATTTTTGGTAAATCAGTTTAAAGAACATTGTGCTAGTGAGTGCATCACATACAATGATCACCTTAGTGACCCAGTGATCTCAGCATTTTGTCTTGCTTAATTGAGGAAAGTCCCAACTAGCCAACTAGGTTCACTTGTCTTTTCTACTCTGGGATTAATGCAGCAGGTAGTAGCCCAAGCAGAACAATTTCTCAAAAGGGAGTAAGTGCAAAATTTAGCTTCATCCAACTTCATTTTTGTCTGTTAAAGAAGTCACAATTGGAGAACTGAAAATTCAGTACCTGTGCTGAAACAAGAAAATTCAGTACATGGTATGTAGAAAATACAACATTACATCTAAACAATTTTCAAACTTGCTGGACTTAAGAAGTTGTTTAGAAGTTAAAATTGATTTATGCCCTAAATTAGAGGGCTGCATCACTCAGAGGAATGTGAAGAAAATATTTTAGGAGTATTAGACTTGCGGCCTCTTTTTGCCATTGCAATTCCTAAAACTTAAAATTCCTAATACTTGTGAATGCTTTGCTAAATCCTGTGCCAAGTGCTACAAGTCCATGCTCCTTCTTTACCCCCAGTAAGGAAATTTCTATCTATTTTTATTTCCTTCTGTGCACAGATTATCTCCAAAAGCTACCACCCAAATCACTGGACATTTGCTGACCGGCAGAAGTTGCTCCTTTTACCAGCTTTCCTTGATTTTTAATCCCAGAGTCAGTTTCTCTCCATGTAGACCAAAGGCATAAATTTGCTTCCCAAGAGCATAAAGAGGTGATCTTACCTGCTTTAGAGCCTGTAGTCCCTGTGGTGAAGGCAGCTGGGAAAGGCCTATGTATCTTCCAACTCTGAAACTCTGCAATTCCTACCATGGGCTTGACCCTCCTATGAGTGTCTTATGAAACATCCATCACTCAGCTTCAATCCAGGTCACCTCAGCACTCCCACCCTCCTCCATTTCAGCAATATTTCTGGCTATGGAGCTCTTATTTTGGCTTGCAATAAGAAATAGGGCAAAATAGAAGACCATTTCCACTCACTTCTCTATGATCTAGATACACCATCACAAAGTCCATACCACCCAGAACAGAGAGTTCAGCTCTTACCTGCCCTGCTTTCTCTCTTTCTCAGGCTGAAGCTGAGGTAGATGCTCATCTGAGACACCAGCACTTATGCAGAGCTAATATAGTGATAGCAAGGGGTCAAAGGTCCTGCTTTGTTTTCCCATTTGCTCTTTTGCAAGCACATCCAGATCAGTGGGACAGGCAAGAAGCTGTGGAGGACTCTGGACCTGTTATTGAGATTTGGTAATGGAGGGTCAGTCTGACCTGAGTCTAAGAGATGTGGAAGGCAGCTCCTGGGTCATTCAGTCCCCTACTTTTGCAGGCAACCATGTCATGGAGGCCCCTTTCATAAGGTGACCAAATTCCACATTAACAGTAGCTAGTTGGGCTGAGTTTTGCTCCACCTGCTCCTGTGGGAAGGCCTGTGCCGTAACCTCACTGCTCTGACAGCTGGAATTACTTGCAGCTATTGTGCCCATTGGTGTTTTCCCCTCCATTTATAACAAATCCATTAACCCAATGGAGCACAGGGGTACGTGTGCATCCCTCTCACATTTCTTCTTTCCCCATGACCAAATCTTTTTGCAAAGGCTGACAAGATGGGCATACACCTGAGCCAGCTGTCAAAACGTACCCAGGAGAAACATCCAGCTACAGGATCCCCAGCCCAAGAAAGACATGGACCTGTCAGAGTGAGGTCTAGAGGGCTGGAACCCCGCTCCCATGGGGAAAGGTTAAAAGAATTGTGGTTGTTCAGAGAAAGCTCCAGGGAAATCTTATTGCAGCTTTTCAATGCTTAAGGAGTGATTATAAGAAATACAAAGACCTGTTGTCAATGGTTGTAGTGACAGGTGAAAGGGAAACAGGTTTAAACAGAAACAGTGATTTATGTTGGATACAAGGAAGAATTCTTTACTGTTGGGACTGGTGAGATGCTGGAACGGGTTGTCCTGAGACGCTGTGGACATTGTTTCATTGGAAGTGTTCAAGGCCAGGTTGGATGGGCTTTGAGCAACCTGATCTAGTAAAAGATGTCCCTGTCCAAGGCAGGGGCAGTGTGGATGAGATGATATTTAAAGCTGCCTTTCGACACAAACCATTCCTACGATTTTATGATAACGTCTCCCCAAGCTTGCTGGTACCAGTCAGAAAGTGGCTGCATTGCTGCTGTAGGGCATGTTTTCCCCTGGCTCAGGTTCCAAGTGCCTGTTGGGTCTTCAGTTGAGCCAACCATCTGTGTTTGGCACGTGCAACCCCTGAGCAGTAGGGGCAAGAGACAGAAAGGCTCCAACACTGAGCTACAAAGGGCATCAATGAAAGGGACATAAGTTAAACAGTGTGTGAGACCCAACAGACCTCCATTCTTACATCAGCCACTTGTTTATTAGGTGATATCACACACAGAAAGTGTGAAAAGCTCAAGTGGTATCAACCAAACAAATTTCTAGAAGACTTGTCTTCTCATGGTGCTTCAAGTGCTTTAGAACCAAACAGTAAGTGTTCTCATTTTACAGGTGTGGCAGCCAAATCAGTGATGGCTACAGTGGGTCACATCATTAAAGAGGGGTGCCAATGGCTTCCCAGACATTTTTCCACTCTCTTGGTGTTTATTCAAATGATCTTTCTTAGAAAACAAATGAAAAAAAAATCCCACATACAAGCAAACCATTTTGCATTTTTGTCCAAAAAAATAACAAGAAGAATATTACTAATGTGTAGCGAGGTTAATTCCAGAAACAAGAACAGAGAGTTTTCAGTTCCACTTCTGGTGCAAACACTAAAAAGCAATTTATGGTCTAGGAAAAACACACAAGAGCAACTGATTGAAAGTTCTCTTATATTTCAATTACACATTTGACAGTCATTGAAGAAAATCTACACATTTACCATCTGCTTTTACAACTGGAATCACATTCAGAAGACCAGCACAAGGCACATTATAGGCAGTAAACTTAGCAGAATTCAGAATGAGCAGTCAATAGTTGTGAGGGTTAATTTAATACAACATCAAGTGTCATCTCTTTCCTATGTCAGGAAGGCTCTCACCCTATTAAGTGGGTGTTTTAAACTGATGTGCTGCTGGAGGTAGTGACATGGAGAGGACTTAGCCGCCCTACCTGGTAATATATACTGCTGAAGAGCTTTGCATTGTGCTTGTTATCAGACAAGGTAACTTCCTCAGCCCTGAAGTTAGCACCTAACTTTAGCTAGTGCTATCATGAATACAATCCCAGATAGCAACTGGGCATTTCAGCACTTTCTACTGCCAAACCTGCACTCGCCAAGACCAGATCAATGATTGCACAGAAGCAGGCCTTGCCCTCCATTCCTGGAATGGCATTCCAGAATGGCAGGGTGCTCTGCAAATAAGCAAGAAAGCCAGATATTGCAAGTCCTTTCTTAATCAAAGAAAAATGACATGATTTTTTTTATCTCATGAGTCTCTGGTCTGAGGCAGAAAGCAGCTGACAGTAGCATGGCTGTTCTTATCTGCCCCACATGGCATGGTCACTTACTCATTGCATTATTGTTTTAAATTAGAGTAACTCCAGTGGCTGTGAAGGTACTTTATCCGAGACAGAAAATTCATTTTTGAGGTGTAAGGTACAGTCCTTCAACTGCATGACAGAAAGAAAATTCTAGAATGGCAATAAATGCCATATGTGAAGCACTCAACTTTTTCCACCACGAATGGGCTGATATATGAACATCAGCTCTTTGGAATGGCTGAAAAATTAAGCATCAATAAATTGCAGTGTAGAAAGAATGAAGCAAGGCCATTTCCTACTGTTATTTCTTTCAGCATGCTGTATTGGAGCTGCTCGGTTTCTCTGTTTTAAAAAGTCAAAGATCCTATAATCTTACTGGAGAAAAGAGCCCATGCTGTATTGTGCAGTGCTGTCACAACGGGTTTCATTTATAGCCAACTAAAATTAGAAATAAGCACCTATAGCAGACCCTATTTCCTTCCCACTTTTCTGCCTGCTTGCAGTTGTAAAGCTTGCATATATAGATTTCCTCTGTCGTTATTCCACAGCCCACCAACTGGTGTCTTATGAACCACAGTGGTCTGTGGACCAGTAAACCTGGTATCATTTCTGCTTCCCTGCTGGATTACTTCATCTATTTCTGTCACAATTTAAGAAGTTACAGAATTAAGACTGAGATACAATCAGTTTTCCCTGAAGAGTTTTGTCTAATGTTTCCATAAATACGAACAAAGCAACTGAAGAGGAGATCAAGTATGATAAGGATAAAACTCTTCAGACTTCACACAGCACAAATTGTGTTCACACAATCTACAATTAGTCACGCTAGCTCAATTAGGGGGACTAGACGAACAAATAAAGATGGAGGGCTCCTTCACAGGATGCAGATAAAAAAAGGACAACCTCTGCAGTAAGTGTACTCAACTACAACAGCAACTTCAACAGCTGCTACTGTTACAGTGGTCTGGGTTTGCTTGCAGTGTGAGGGGGTTCTTGCTCTTGGGAACAACTTGCTGGACACATTGGCTTATACACACTTTTTT